CATTCCCCCAGAGGAGCTGGAGGAAGTGTCTGGAGAGAGGGAGGTCTGGGCATCTTTGCTTAGACTGCTGCCCCCGCGACCCGGTCCCGGATAAGCGGAAGAAAATGGATGGATGGATGGATAGACGCTGGATCATGTGTGATCATGTTATCCTTGCATACATGTTGTTTTAAAAAGGCAGCTTTATGCGGAAGCTGCATTGGTGGTTTCTGGTGTGTTTATGTTGCAGAGATTAAGCAGTTTTGTGGTAATTCTCACTACCATGATAAAAATCTCACGATTGTTTTTTGAGATGATTGTCCAGGGCATGATGATTAATTAATATGATGCTTGATGCTGCTTTGAGAAACACATTTAAAGGTGAATACTGTTTTATCACTTGAAAGTTAGATTATATGACTTTTGAAAAACAAAAAGAAACATTCTTCATCTTACAAACAAAAGTTAAATTCATAAGAAATGTATGCACACATTCTCATATCGGTACACTCAGGAGTTTTGCAGCTTCTTTCTTAGGCTGGTATGACCAGTAACGTATGGTGGTTAATGTAGGGAATATTGCAGGTAACTGAAATTACTGAATCAGTTCAGTGACTTGATGACTTCTCTCTACTTGTGCCTCAGTTGTACAGTTTTAGTATTCACCACTATCCTGTATTTGCTACTTATGGCTGCAGAAAAAGTTATAATCTCAATTTAGAATGTGAAACTTCTTATGTTGTAATCTTAAATGAGTCTGGAGTGTAGCCACCTCTTTTGTTTTTATTTTGTCTGTCCTCTAAATAATCCCTGTTTTTCTTGCAGTTGGTGAACTACCTACTGAAGAGGCTAGAGCTGAGTGACTACAGCAACATCATTACCGATGGCTACAGCTGTGGTACCCGCAGGAAGCTCTCTACAGCGCTGGCTCTCATTGGGCATCCACAAATATTGCTCCTGGTGAGGACACACCTGTTCATACTGTTGTAGCTGCTCGTTTCATTGCCAAACTGGCCAACAGATGACAAATATTAAACGGCACACTACTGAAAGGATCTCTGAAGTAAAGCAGATATTGATCCAATAGACTTGACAGATCTTATATAGTTGGTCTACTTCCTCAGGCTTACCCAAAGGTGGTCTTGTCTGTAGCTTTCAACCTTGTTTCTGCCTTATGTCTCAATCAGATTCTCTCCTCTCTTCTCTCCTTTGTCCATGTGTGTCTGTTCTTGAATTTTCCCTCTGCCTCTTATCTTTGTCCTTATTTTTTGCCTTAACCTCCCATTTTTGCTTTGTCTGTGATATTGTGCCCCCCCCCCCATCTCCATTCTTATTTTGGAAATATACCTCCGTGTTTCTGACTGTATATATTGTATGTACCGCACACTGTTTTCAGCTCTTTCACACATCCTGCTATCTTCTTCTCATTCCTCCTCTCTTTACAGGATGAACCAAGTTCTGGCATGGACCCTCGCACCAAGCGTCACCTATGGAAAATCATCTCTGAAGAAGTGAAAGGAAAAAGTGCTGTGGTCCTCACCTCTCACAGGTTAGAAGTGTATCTACACTGATCGTACATTGCTGGTTGGACATTAGAAATAGGAACATTTGATAAATACAAAATTAAAAATTTGTATTGCACAAATTGTTTGGGATTGGGCTCCAGTTGCAGGTAAAAAGTAAGATAACATTTAGCATGCTAGCACATTTTATTGCTGGTTACTGTATTCTCAATGGGTCCTAGTATGACCTTTTATCTTTCTCTCTTTGTCTTTATTTCTCAGCATGGAAGAGTGTGAGGCACTGTGCAGCCGTCTTGCTATCATGGTGAAAGGTCAGTTCCGATGCCTGGGATCCCTGCAGCACATTAAGAACAGGTTAGTGACCTCAGCTCAGCCTCAAATCCAGCCATTACTGTTCTCCTGACCTTGCCTCCACAGTCTCCTACTCTTCCCCCATGATTCTTTGTGCAACTGACTGCTCAGTTTTATTTGTAAGAACAGTGCTCCCTCACCCCCGCCCTTCAGACATACAGTGCCTTGCAAAAGTATTCATATCCCTTGAATTTTTCCACATTTTGTCACATTACAGCCACAAACTTAAATGTTTTTTATTGGGATTTTATGTGATAGACCAACACAAAGTATCACATAATTGTAAAGTGGAAGGAAAATGATACATGGTGTTCAAGATTTTTTACAAATAAAAATCTGAAAAGTGTGGCATGCATATGTATTCGGCCCCCTTCAGTCAATACTTTGTCGAAGCACCTTTTGCTGCAATTACAGCTGCAAATCTTTTGGGGTATGTCTCTACCAGCTTTGCACATCTAGAGACTGCAATTTTTGCCCATTCTTCTTTGCAAAGTAGCTCCAGTTCAGTCAGACTGGATGGAGAGCATCTGCAGTTTTCAAGTCTTGCCACAGATTCTCAATAGCATTTAGGTCTGGACTTTGACTGGGCCATTCTAACACATGAATATGCTTTGGTCTAAAGGTAGGTAGGTAGGTAGGTAGGTAGGTACTTTATTGATCCCACAGTGGGGAAATTTCTGTGTTACAACAGCAATAGAGAACAACCAACATAACACCATAAGAACAGACACATAAGAAGAGAACTTCATAGAAACACAGTAAAGAACACAAGGAATATTTTACCTAAAGCAGGGCAATGTGCAGTATTTGAGAGAGATCAGGAACAAGATATTACACATGAACCTATTCACAATGCATTTCACCCCCAGGAGCTGAAATATTGCACCACAGTAGATTATTACATAGTCCCTCATAATTTCACCTAGTTTATCACTGCAGTGATGTGTTGTACAGTCTGATTTCTGTGGGGAGGAATGACCTGCGGTAATGTTCCTTCTTACACTGGGGATGTAACAGTCTTGTGCTAAAAGAACTGTTCAGAGCCACCACTGTGTGGTGCAGGAGATGGGAGGGGTTATGCATGATGGATGTTAGTTTTACCAGCATCCTTCTGTCCGCCACCTCCTCGATGGAATCCAGAGGGCAGTCCAGGACAGAACCAGCTCTCTTAACCAGCTTGTTGAATCTCATTCTGTCCCTCACCGTGGTACCTCCTGCCCAACCCACAACAGCGTAAAAAATAGCAGATGCCTCCACAGTATCATAAAATGTCCGAAGGAGTGCCCCGCGCACACCAAAGGACCTCAGTCTCCTCAACAAGTGGAGGCGGCTCTGGCCCTTCCTGTACAGGGCATCTGTGTTGTTGGTCCAATCCAGCTTATTGTTGAGGTGGACCTAAACCATTCCATTGTAGCTCTGGCTGTATGTTTAGGGTCGTTGTCCTGCTGGAAGGTGAACGTCCACCCCAGTCCCAAGCCTTTTGCAGGTTCTAACAGGTTTTCTTCCAGGATTGCCCTGTATTTAGCTCCATCCATCTTTCCATCAACTCTGACCAACTTCCCTGTCCCTGGTAAAGAAAAGCATCCCCACAGCATGATGCTGCTGCCACCATGTTTCACGGTGGGGATGGTGTGTTCAGGTTGATGTGCAGAGTTAGGTTTTCGCCACACATAGCGTTTTGCATGTAGACCAAAAAGTTCAATTTTAGTCTCATCTGACCAGAGCACTTTCTTCCACATGTTTGCTGTGTTCCCTACATGGCTTGTGGCAAACTGCAAACAGGACTTCTTATTGCTTTCTTTCAACAATGGCTTTCTTCTTGCCACTCTTCCATAAAAGCCAGATTTGTGGAGTACACGACTAATAGTTGTCCTGTGGACAGATTGTCCCACCTAAGCTGTGGATCTCTGTAGCTCCTCCAGAGTTACCATGGGCCTCTTTGTTGCTTCTGAAATTTGGGGGAGGCAACCTTGGTGCGGTGGGTAGAGCAGTCGTCTCTCAACCAGAAGGTTGAAGGTTTGAATCTTGGTGCCAGCAGTCCACGTGTTGAAGTGTCCTTGGGCAAGACACTGAACCCCCCACCCCATTGCCCCCAATGGCTAGAGCCATCAGTTGAGGTGGTGCTGCAGGTGGCTGCCTCGGTTCTGTACCGGAAAAGGTGATTATCCTTATCCTTCTCTGATTAATGCTCTCCTTGTCCGGCCTGTCAGTTTAGGTGGATGGCCATGTTTTTGTAGGTTTGCAGTTGTGCCATACACTTTCCATTTTCGGATGATGGATTGAACAGTGCTCCGTGAGATGTTCAAAGCTTGGCATATGTTTTTATAACCTAATCCTGCTTTAAAGTTCTCCACAACTTTATCCCTGATCTGTCTGGTGTGTTCCTTAGTCTTCATGATGCTGTTTGTTCACTAATGTTCTCTAACAAACCTCTGCGGCCATCACAGAACAGCTGTATTTATACTGAGATTGAATTACACACAGGTGGACTCTATTTACTAATTATGTGACTTTTGAAGGCAGTTGGTTGCACTGGATTTTATTTAGGGATATGAGAGTAAAGGGGGCTGAATACATATGCATGCTACACGTTTCAGATTTTTATTTGTAAAAAATCTTGAACACCACATATAATTTTTGTTCCACTTCACAATTATGCAATACTTTGTGTTGGTCTATCACATGAAATCCCAATAAAATACATTTAAGTTTGTGGTTGTAATGTGACAAAATGTGGAAAAATTCAAGGGGTATGAATACTTTTGCAAGGCACTGTATATGACTCTGCTTTGTTCATAAAATGTCTTTTTTGCAGGTTTGGCAATGGGTTCACTGTGAAGATGTACATGGCCAATGCTTCCTGTGATGCACAGGCAATCACCAACTTCATGCAGCACCATTTCCCCAGCACATATCTCAAGGTGAGCTATCCAGAGAAATCAACAATACTTTGCATTGAAGAGGGGAAAAGAACAAGTATATGTTGCAGTGGATTAATGCAATAAAGTCAGTAGAAGTAGTTGTGTATGTGTGTATTTTTGATAGAGTCTAGGAGGCTGTTAAGAGGTGAGGAAAATGAGGACCCAAATGCAGTTACAAGACATCATGATAAAGTAGTAAATAAGGGCAACTCTGTGTAGATACAGGCAATGTGAGACACAAAATAGAGATAGGCTGGGGCAGGGGTCCCAATACGTCAATTGCGATCGACCAGTCAAACACAAAGGTAGACAGTGTTGGTAGATCGCATGCCATTCAAAAATAAATTAGATGTTAGCCTATCATTCATCCCCCCTATGGCATTTGCCACTTGATTGACATGCAGGGCAGGAAGTCTGAGATCTTGTATTTTCTGACACATGAGTCATCAAGCATGCTCAGTCAACTGCATGAGTTACTGCAAAGGTCCAGTAAGCTAACTACCTTGTCAGCCTTCCAATTTATTTCTACTAAAGAAAGGGTATAAAATGAGTGGGGGAGACAAATAAAGTAAGAAACCGAAAACATTCCATGCAGAATGGAAAACTTTTTTCACAATGTTATAATCGAAGTGTGTGTGTGTGTGTGTGTGTGTGTGTGTGTGTGTGTGTGTGTGTGTGTTATGGCCATGTTTTTGTAGGTTTGCAGTTGTGCCATACACTTTCCATTTTCGGATGATGGATTGAACAGTGCTCCGTGAGATGTTCAAAGCTTGGCATATGTTTTTATAACCTAATCCTGCTTTAAAGTTCTCCACAACTTTATCCCTGATCTGTCTGGTGTGTTCCTTAGTCTTCATGATGCTGTTTGTTCACTAATGTTCTCTAACAAACCTCTGCGGCCATCACAGAACAGCTGTATTTATACTGAGATTGAATTACACACAGGTGGACTCTATTTACTAATTATGTGACTTTTGAAGGCAGTTGGTTGCACTGGATTTTATTTAGGGATATGAGAGTAAAGGGGGCTGAATACATATGCATGCTACACGTTTCAGATTTTTATTTGTAAAAAATCTTGAACACCACATATAATTTTTGTTCCACTTCACAATTATGCAATACTTTGTGTTGGTCTATCACATGAAATCCCAATAAAATACATTTAAGTTTGTGGTTGTAATGTGACAAAATGTGGAAAAATTCAAGGGGTATGAATACTTTTGCAAGGCACTGTATATGACTCTGCTTTGTTCATAAAATGTCTTTTTTGCAGGTTTGGCAATGGGTTCACTGTGAAGATGTACATGGCCAATGCTTCCTGTGATGCACAGGCAATCACCAACTTCATGCAGCACCATTTCCCCAGCACATATCTCAAGGTGAGCTATCCAGAGAAATCAACAATACTTTGCATTGAAGAGGGGAAAAGAACAAGTATATGTTGCAGTGGATTAATGCAATAAAGTCAGTAGAAGTAGTTGTGTATGTGTGTATTTTTGATAGAGTCTAGGAGGCTGTTAAGAGGTGAGGAAAATGAGGACCCAAATGCAGTTACAAGACATTGTGATAAAATAGTAAATAAGGGCAACTCGGTGTAGATACAGGCAATGTGAGACACAAAATAGAGATAGGCTGGGGCAGGGGTCCCAATACGTCAATTGCGATCGACCAGTCCCACAGGATCTTAGCTTGGTCATTCTCAACCACCTTTGGAGGTGTATCCCATTTTGACTTTGGGACTTCCAGCCTGTACTCGGCACAGATGT